AGAAAGGCCAAGAGGCCCCCAAGAGGCCCCCAAGATGGTACACGAGGGGTCCGACATGCCACAAGATCGCTCCAAGACGCCCAAGATAGCCCCCAGACGCCCCAAGAGGCCTCCAAGAGCACTCCCAAGAGGGCCCCCGGAGGCAAAATTCATTGTTTTTCCTTAGGCTTTTGAGAATTTTTGGAGCTTCCACCTTTTCGGCTGCCCGACGCCCCAAGACGGCCCAAGAGGCCCCCAAGCTCGCCCCAAGAGGGCCCAAGAGGCCCCCAAGAGGGCCCCAAGATGTCCCAAGAGGGCTCGAAGACGGCCCAAGAAGCCTCCAAGACGGTCCAAGAGGGCCCCAAGAACGCCCCCAAAGGGGCCCCAGAGAGGGAACACGAAACAACATTTCGAGCCCTCGGCCCTAAGAAGCCCCTACGAGGCCCTAAGAGGCCCCTATGAGGCCCCAAGAAGCCCCCACGAGGCCCTCAGGAGGCCCCCAAGAGTCACCCAAGCGGCCCCAGGAGGCCCCCCAAATGCCCCCCCGAGCGCCCCAGGAGTCCCCCAAGCGGCCCCAGGAACCCCCAAAGCGCCGCATTGACACCAGGCCCTCGGGCAAACGGCAGACATGAGACTGTATGGGCCGGCGGAATGAGCGAAGCGATTAATAATTAGCCACCTCCGGCGGCAGCCGGGCAAGCAGGGCGGCGGGCGAGAATCCCCTGCTGCGAGCGCCGCGCGCCGAGCTGGGGACCAACAGGGGCAATCCCAAAACCGGCGCTGCCAGTCCTCCCGCGCCGCGCCGCAATGCGGGCAGCGCTCGGGTTTGCCCCACTTGGCTGCCACAGTCTCGGTGGCGACATTGCTTGCCACTCAGGACTGCGCGAAGGGCGCCGGCGGCGTCGGGCGCAAGCTCGCCGCTCTCCAGGACGCGACGGGTGGCCCACCGGTCATTGCCCCCCGATACGTGAGCGCAGTCGGCGCGCCTGGTCGCGACCTCACGGGCGTCGCGGCGCGCCCAGGCTGCAAGCAGAATCGCCTGCGTGTCCTGCAGGGCCTGGCCAGCGGGCCGCCGCCCTGCTGGCGCCGACGGGACGCCCTGCCAGCACGCCACGTCCGCGCCCAGCTGCAACGCCGCCATGTTGCGCGCTGCAGCTGCGATGGGCCCTTGGCGACGGCCGTGCCCTGCGGCGATGGCGCCCTCCGCCTCCTGCCAAGGGTCCTCTGAGAAGCGGCCACGCGGCAGCGCCTTGGCGATCTGCCACAACGGCGCGATGACCATGATCGCTGCTGGGTCCAGCCGCCACCTGGGGCTGAGGACGCCGAATACGACCTCCGCCGCGGCGCGGAACCATCCAGACAGCGCGCCGCGCCGCCGAGCGGGGCCCCGCGAGCTCGCGAGCCGGCGGCAGCACGCATGCGGCTCCAAACAAACATACATGCTGCAGTGCCGGCCGCAGGCAGCGCTGCCGGAAATCCACTGGCAGGCGCCCGATCTGGGCGAACCTGCCCACCGCCGTGAGCAAGCGGCTCGGCGCGACCGCGCAGCGGCGCCGGCGACCCGCGGTCGCCACGAAGCCAAGATCCTTGAAGCTGGTGCTAGCCGGAATGCCCAGCGCCTGCGCCGACAGCCAGCGCCGCACCGCCGCCGAATTCGCGAACTGCACGCTCTTGCCGCGATTGAGCTGCCAGCCCATGGCGTGCTCAAAAGCCGCGGTCACCCGCAACGCATCGCGGACCGACTCCGCCGCCTCGCTGGCTTCCTGCGCCGGACGCCGGCTCCACAGCGTGAAACCATCCACGCAAATTCTGCGTTGCAGGCGGTCGTCGACCGCGCCAGTGCGCCGGTGCCAGGGCCACGACACGCACACACACACAGACACACACACACACACACACAGACACACACACACACACAGAGGCACACACACACACAGACACTCAGACAGACACACACACACAGGTACAGACACAAACAAACACACACCAGAAAAAGGCTTCGGCCAGATCGCATCCTGTTCCTTTGGCAGAGCGCGTTGCTTGGGCCCCGGCTCTCGCACGGAGGGCCTCCCTGCGGCAGGACTCGGTTGCCTCCCTGACGGAGAGACCGGAGGCCAGCAGCGCGGAGCATTTGACCCGCGCCTGGGGGCGACGGGCTGATTGACTGAGCGGCGGCGTCTTCTCGGGAGGATGCCTTCCTGGCAGCCCTTCGGGTGCCACTCCCAGATGCTCCGAGAGCGGCGATAGGGGTGGCCTCTGCAGGGGGCGCACGGGGCCCGAGCTCCACGAGAGGAACTGGTGACAGGCGATTCTGGGCCCGCGGCCAGGCGCGCTCGCGCCAGATCTGGCCGTCTGGCCCCTCCAACCCCCCGCAGAGTGGAAGGGGAGGTGAAGGGGGAGAGGAGAGGGAGGGGGAAGGGGGGGGGAGGAGAGGGGGGAGGAGGAAGGGGGGAAGGGGGGGGGGGAGGGGGAAGGAAGGGGGAGGAGAGGGAGGGGGAAGGGGGGGGGGGGAAGGGGGAGGTGAAGGGAAAGGGGGGGGGGAGGGGAGAGGGGGCAAGCTGGGCGCGCGCTCCATAGCTGGCCTCCTCCCCCTCGCACCCGCCCCTCCCCACTGCGCGGAGCTGTCTCTCCATCTGCCAGCGGGCGTCCTAGCGGACCTGGACCCCCCAAAAATGGCCACGCCGCTGGAAGCGTAATCGGGCATGGGAGCTGTGCGAGTTCGAGGGGGAGGCGGCGGCGGATGAGCAGGATGATGAGCAGGAGGAAGAGGAGGGTGAGGAAGGAGGAGGAAGGGATTGGCACCAGCAACAGGAGCAGGAGGAGCGGGAGGAGCAGGACGCGGAGGGGACGGCGGAGGGGGGTTTCTGGAGCCGACGACGACGAAGGAAGGAATCGGATCCAGTGCGGCCAGCGCCGAGGCGAGAGCGCAACTCTGAACGACGGGAGCAAAGCGCCGATCTTGAAATGAGGCCAACACTGCATCGGGAGCGTGCGTCTTATAGACAGCACTGCCTTCTGAAGCCTGCGGGGAACGCCGCAAGGGCGCTGCAAGAAGGGGCCGAACTGCCCAGAAAACCACGATACAGCAAGAACGGGGCTCGTTTGGGCAATCTTAATTGAATGTGGCAAGATAGCCCTCTAACTCTGCCCAAATGCGAGCGCAGGCAAGTTACAGAAGAGAAAGATCGTGTCCTGCAGGCAGCTGGCATAACTCAGTCCTGTCGCGCTTCGTGCCGAAATCTGGTCGCCAAAGAAATGAAGGTGAAGCTCAACATGTCGTCCAACCATCTTCGCTGAGGACTGTTCTGGCGTCTCTCAGATATCAAGTTGGAGGATCCACCAGGCTCTACATGAACATCTCGCGCGTCCACTCGCAAGGTGATGATTGCGCTCTATACTGCACCCATTTCCACGTCCGACGTCGCTGTTGTTCAACCCATTCGTCGATTCCCTGATTGACACTCTGGTTTACGACCCTGCGCACACACCGTTTCACACATCCCGCCCAAGATTCAGCATTGTGTCGTCATTCGCTGCCTGCTTCAGAAGAGAAGTTCGCTCTTCCTTCTGAACGCACGCTGGCCACGTCCGAGCCACTTCCTGAGTAGTCGAAGCCAATCTGGCGCCAATCTGGCAGGCCCAATCTGGCAAACGGGGGCAATCTGGCGAGGGAGCCAACGCGAATCCAGTCTGGCGAATAACCCAAACCATCCAGTTTGGCCGGGCCAGATTGGCCCTTGGGGCCCAATCCAATCTGACAGTCTGGCCTTCGACTACCCAGACTTCTGAACAAATCATTGAATCGATCAGCCGTTCAAACTCTGCGCGCGACAGACACTGCACGGGAAATACGGGCGCTCCGCTCGCAGCACCCTGAGAGAGAAGGCAGAGGAGTATGCCCTTCGGGCAGCTGTCCCGGAGGGAGGGTATGAGGAGGGAGAGAGGGGGGGAGGAAGACAAGGAGAGGGGGGAGGGGAGGAGGAAGAGGGGGAGGGGGACAAGCTAGGTGCGCGCGCGTCATATCTGACGTCCTACCCCTCCCTCCCATCCCTTACCATGGCGCTGATTTTCTCTATCCGCGGACTAGTGGGTGGTGGTGCGCGTGCGTGCGTGCGTGCGTGTATGCGTGGGGGGAGGGGGAAGGTCGGAAGGGGAGGAGCAACTGCAGCGGCCGGGGAAGGGAAAAGAAGGTGAGGGAAGGCGAGAGATGAGCGAGGGGCCCTGCACGCCCGTGCCGCCACGGGCGCCTCAGGCTCGCCCTGACGGAGCCTCGCCGACCAGCCACAACCGTGGGAGCTGCCCTGTATACGCCTTCCGGCCAGGGCCAGGAGGGTCTGTACGGCAGGTTCGCGTCGTGTCAACCCCGGCGGTGGTTCCCGACACCGCGGGGATCGTTCAACCGTGAACGATTGGCAATTTACAAGACGTCCGATCGCTCAACACCGACCGACTCCGGGTCGCTGGCGGCGTTCAACGTTGCATGCTGGCAGCGGTGTCGCCGCCAGTCGACACGACGCGAACCGACCGCACGCCGACCCTGGGCCCAAGGATGTGCCTGGCCAGGATGAAGGGGAACTGGGGCACACAAATAAACATACACAAACAACCAGATTCCCCATATTTTCCTATGGTTTCTGGGTTTCCGTCTTCCCCTCCCCACTTCCCATACGTTCCCATACTTTCTGGGGAATGGACGATTCATTGTGCCTGTGTTTTTTCCCCTCCTGACAGGACAGGAGCGGTGCTGCTGCATCGCTGGCGCCCCCCGACCAGCTGTGGCTGGCCTGGTCGCGCGTGCGGGGCGCCACCGCGGCGAGCCTGCCACCTACAGACTTCACCAGCCTCGAACGTATCCCTACCCCTAAGATTGACACGCCAAAAGGCGATGACAATCTTAGGGATTCGCCCTCAAAAAATAAGGGAATCCGTAAGAGTGGCATCGTGATGAGGAGGTGCCCAGCATAGGGATAGGGAAATGTTCCAGGCTGGTAAAGACTTCCTCGTCGCGCTGGGGACAGATCCTACCTATTCAAATCGCCCCGGGCACGGCGGGTGCTGCCGCGTGGGGGGGTTGCGCTCAGGCCGTGTGTTGCACACCGCCCGCCTCGCGATCGCGGGACCCGAGCCGACCCAGAACCAGGCGGGGGGGAGGAGGGCAGGAGATGAGTTAACGGGCGAAGAACAGTATAAAATAAACTTTTTCGCTGTCGGGGGCGCCTGTCCCTGGGCGGCTGGAAAGTTTATACCCTTACGGTGGCACCGTAGGGGTATAAACTTTCCAGCCGCCCAGGGTCAGGCGCCCCCGACAGCGAAGAAGTTTATTCTATACCGTTCTTCGCTCGCTGAATGAGGAGAGGGGGAGGGAAGACGGAAAGCATTGCTAGCAGTCCGCAGGTTTTCCGCTAGGCGTGCTCCCGACTGACTCCGCAACGCAGACACGACTGATCTGGTGAATTCTCCAAAAAAATCTTGCACTTAGGGGATTAAAAGTGTTTCTAAGGAACTGGGCCTGCGTGCCAGTCTCGCGGCTATGTCGTCGCCGTCGCTGCCCCGTCGCCGCCACGTCGCCGCCCGTCGTGTGGGCCTGCGTGCCGGTCTCGCGGCCATGTCGTCGCCGTCGCCGCCCCGTCGCCGCCTCGTCGCCGCCTCGTCGCCGTCCGTCGTCTGGGCTTGCGTGCCGGTCTGGCAGTGATGTCGTCGCCGTCGCCGCCCCGTCGCCGCCTCGTCGCCGTCCGTCGTGTGGGCATGCGTGCCGGTCTTGAAGGGGCCCTGGGACACACAAATAAGTACACACAAATAAACAGATTCCCCATATGTTCCCATATTTTCTAGGTTTTTGTCTTCCCCCCACTTCCCATATTTTTCCACATTTTCCTGGGAATCGAAGATTAATTGTGTCTGTGTGTGTGTTTTTCCCCTTCTGAGGTCTGGCGGTTCTGTCGTCGCCGCCCCGTCCCCCTCCCGTCCCGCCTCCCCCTGCCCACCCCCCCCTTGGGGCCGCTTCCCGCCGCATCGGCCAGGGCGAGGGGCCGCGCACCTGCGCCGCTCGCCCTCCCCCATGGCTCCGTGGGCGATGCCCACCGCTGGTCCGCCCTGGGCTGCCACGCTCGCTCGGGCGCCTGCCCTCCCTGCCCCGCCCCCTCGCCGGCCCGGCGGCCCACCTGGGGCGCGTGCGCGCCTCTCGCGCCCTGGCGGGACCCTCCCGCCCACCTCGGGGTGCTGCTCTGCCCCGGTCGGCACTCCCCGGTCTCCCCACCCGGGTGGCCCATCCCCACCGTGACTGCACCTGTTGGGTGCCCAGCCCTCGGCTCACCCCGCGGTTCCGCAGGGACTCAGCACGCACACGCTGCTCCACGGCCGGTTGGCCACGCTCCCCCCGCTGCCCTGGGGCCTGGGCTGGTCTTGGTTGCCAGGCGCCGCACCCCATCCCTTGGGGTACGGCACTGTCACTGTTCGCGCGCCCCCCTTCCCCGGCTGAACCCGTCAGCCCTTGCTGCCGCCAGCCCCACCCCTGCCGCCGCGGCTGGAACCCTGGCGCAAGCCCCGCCACGTACCCGGAGCTGCTCTGAGCGGGCCCGGCTCCTCTCGGCCCCCTCTCATGGCTGGCGCCTGGTCGTCCTTTCCCCTCCCTCCTGCATGCTGGCTGAATTTGTCTAACATTGCCCCGATTCGCTTTACTCGCCAGCATAGCCAGCCGCCGACGCAAAAAGTGGGTGTGTGGGTGTGTGGGTGTGTGGGTGTGTGGTTGCATGGGTGTGTGTGTGGGTGTGTGTGTGTGTGTTGTGTGTGGGTGTATGTGTGTGTTGTGTGTGTGCGTGTGTGGGTGTGGGTGTGTGGGTGTGGGTGTGTGTGTGTGTGTTGTGTGTGTGTCTCCGTCACCCTGCCTCAGGCACGAAGTGGAGTGCTCCAAGTCTCATGCAGCCCTGAGAGGTAGAGAAGTAGTAAGGTTCTTCAGGGCTCCGACCCCTGGTTCCCCAGGCGGTCCCTGGCGGTCCCACACACTGCTGGGGGGTGTCGCGTGGGCCTCCGAGGCGGTGACCCTGTCGAAAATGAACCAGAACAAACCACCGAACTCATCAGAAGCGCCCAAGAGAGTCCAAGAGTGCCCCGAGACGGCCCCACAAGACTTCCAGACTGGCTACGATGCTCTCCAGATGGCCCAAGACGCCTCCAAGACGCCGCAAGAGACCTCCGACAGCACTCCACGGAGGGCCCCAAGAGGCCAACATTACTGACTTTGCGTGCGTTTTTCAATTGCGGGTCCTCGACTTTTCTGGCTGAAGCTCCCAAGAAAGCCCTCAGACGGCCCAAAAGGGCTCCAAGACGGCCCCAGAGGCGACCAGGACGGCCCAGGAAAGCTCAAAGACAGACCAAAGAAGGGCCCAAGAGATGGAACACGAACGGAAAATCCGAGTCTTCCGCCCCAAGATGTCCCCAGGGATGCCCCTAGGAGGCGCCAAGAGGCCCCCAAGAAGCCCCAAGAGGCCCCCAAGGGGCCCTCAAGACGCTCCAAGAGGCCCCAAAACGGCTCCCAAAAGGTACCCAAACGGCCCCCAAGAGGCCCCCGAGAGGACCCCCGCGACATCCCAACGAACATCCTAGAGGAGGCCTCTTACCCACAACCCAGGCACGGTGGCGGGATGGCCCGAAAGCCATTAGATTCTCCTTTCACAAAAGAGAATAGACTCTACCCCACCCCCGGACTTATCAGCTCCCCCTGGGATAGTATGATTTCATAGATATTTGTATATATATATATATATATAGATTCTGCACATTCGTCCATCCTCAATATGAAAGCATAGCATCCCAACCAAACCGGGTTCCCCCCCTGAGGTTCCCTTGTTCACGAATCCCTTGCAAAAAAAACGAAGTGCACACGCGCGCGTCGTCGCGCGCATGCCGAAATCCTTCAAAAACCTTCGGTGCGGGAAAGATTTCGCAATCGAGTTCCCAAAAAACATACAAAAACACAGGGTTTCGCAACACAGAGTTGCTAAAAAAGCTTCCGCGCGAGCTCTTGCGAAATCATAAGAAAGCCATAGGTTTTTCAAGATGTTCACAAAATGCTACCAAACGGGCTTCGCGCGCGCTCATGTCGAAATCTGTCGAACGCCCTTGCGCGTGTGCCGTCGCGAGAATCCCCTGCAAAAAATGAAACGAAGTGCAGACGCGCGCGTCGTCGCGCGCGCGTATGCCGAAAACCTTCAAAACCCTTCGGTTTCGGAAGGATTTCAAAATCGCGTGCCCAAAAAACCTACAAAAATACAAAGCTTCGCAACACGGATTTTCAACAAAAGCGTGCGCGCGCGCTCTTGCGTCGTCGTCGTCGTCGTCTTCCTCCTCCCGCGTCGTTGTCGTCGTCGTCGTCGCCTACGTCGTCCTCTGTCTTTCCTCGTGTTCGTCGTCGTCCTCCTTGGCGTCGTGGTCGTTTCCGTCGTCGTTGTCGCCGTGGTCGTCCTTCCTCCTCCTCCCTCGTCGTAGTCGTCGTCCGTCGTCGGCGTCTCGTCGTCGTCCCTCCTATTTCGTCGCCGTCGTCGTCGTCGTCGTTGTCGTCGTCGTCGTCGTCTTCCCTCCTCCCTCGTCGTTGCGTCGTCGGCGTCGCCGTCCTTCCTCCTTCTTCGTCGTTCGCGTCGTCGCCGTCCTCCCTCCTCCCTCGTCGTTGTCGTCGTTGTCGCCGTCGTCGTCCTCCCTCCTTCCTCGTTGTCTTCGTTGGCGACGTCGTCGTCGTCTTCGTCGTCGTCGTCGGCGTCGGCGTCGTTGTCGTCTTCGTCGTCGTCGACGTCGGCGTCGTCGTCGTCGCCGCCGTCGTCGTCGTCGTCGTCGTCGTCGTCGGCGTCGTTGACGTCGTCGTCGTCGTCGGTGTCGTCGTTATCGTCGTCGTCGGCGTCGTCATCGTCGTCGTCGTTGTCGTCGTCGTCGTCGTCGGCGTCGGTGTCGTCGTCGTCGTCGTGTCGTCGTCGTCGTCGTCGTCGTCGTTGTCGGCGTCGTCGAAGTCGTTGGAGACGTCGTCGGTGTCGTCGTAGTCGTTGTTGGCGGCGTCGTCATCGTCGTTGTCGCTGTCGTCGTCGGCGTCGCTGTTGTTGCCAAGTGCCATGTGGTACCCACCGTCACGGTCTTAAGAGATTTTGCAAACCAAGTTGCGGGTGGGTGGGTGGGACGTTTGCGCGAGCAGTGGAGTGGACAACTCACTGCGAACAGAAATTAGTTGCACCACATAGATTGCACCATATACATTGCAGCACGTACAGCGCACCACTTAAATTGCACCACATTGCACCACATACACTACACCCCATTGATTGAACAACATAAATGGAACCGAGTGAACAAGGTTGTACAACATATCTTGCAACACACAGACTGCATCACATGATACATTGCTCCGCATAGATGGCACTTCTTATATGACACCACAAATCTTGCTAGAAGCACACTGCTTGGGGCCCACACTAGCTAACATGTTAAACCTAACTATTCACATGTGCACAGAGAGAAACAACTAACAGAGAAAAGGAAGAAGGCGGATACCAAGACGGAGGGGGCGAGGCGAAAGTTCGAACGGAGGGAGGGGAGAAGAAGGGAGGCCGTCCGCCCATGAAGTGGCGGGCCACGCAGGTCTGCCGCGGGGCCAAGCGACTGGGCACTGGAACCTCCTTCATCGAAGATTGCGCTGTTTGCCGTCGGCGGCCCCTCCTACAGTCTTGGTGATCGAGTGCCCTCTGAAGAGCCAAAGGATTCCCATGACAGACTCCCAGCTCCGACCCGCCTCCACCTTCTGGCCCCCGCTCGGGATCAGCAGGAAGAGGCACGCATTCTACCTCACGCCTACCATCTTTCTCTGGTGCTCCCAATGCCTGGCTTAAGGCCCACACCCCCTCGGGGTTGGCCTGGAGGTCGGCGTCTGATTCTGCTGGACTTCCGATGCCCCGCCCACCCTGCCCGTGTCCCAAGAGCTCGGGACCCCCTGTCCGGACGCGCACTCAGCCGATGCAGTGGACCACATACGTGGCACCCGCACTGCAAGGTGGTTTGCCCTGGCGGCACACTTCGCAAAGCAGAAGTTCCCCAGTCAACAGGTTGGGGTTGGTAGACTTCAAGAAC